CATAATGTCGTTCGGCCGAAGTGCGAGTATTTTCGATAAAATGAGGGTGTTTTGAGATGTTAGGTCCTCGTTCAGTATTAATTGGACCGCGTTTAACAGAGAGGAACCAAGCCACATCAGCTATTGTCAATTTTAACTGGGCAATTTAATTTTTTGCGAGAAAACGTTTGTGCGGATCCCTTTGAAAATGTTAAGGAATTTGTTTCGTACTATGGAGAAAATTCACAAAACATTGCCACACAAATCCGCACAACTGTTTTCATGTAAAAAATTTAACTAGCCGATTAAATTTGGCAATAGCTGATGTGGCTTGGTTCATTTCTGTTTAACGCGGTCCAATTTCGCCATTAAAGCTCGTCTTTGACATTTTAATTATAAAGCCACCTGAAACTTTTGGGATTTTGTAGAACTAGAGGTTCGTATAATTTTTGGAGTTCTCTTAAATCATTTTAAAGAGGACATACGTCCTTAGTGCGCTGCCGTCCTTTTTTAATGAACCTTTTTCTCTCATGATCAATCATGGCCCCCATGTGATTACATTCAGAGAGCTGGATAATCAGTAATGATCTTCGGACAGTCTCTAAAAAAATATCTCTTGGGCCTAAAGTCTGTTGTTTTAACCGGATTTGTGCTTGATAGCCAAAAGGAAATCCGCTTAAAAGAGCATTGGCTCTCGATTCAAGCAAGAGTCCGATTGGATTGAGATTTTTCTACAAATTTTTTAAGAGTCTGGACTCTATATCCAAGAGACTTTTTCCAGTCTGTGAAGGTATACAATTTTAAGGGTATGAGTATGAAAGTCCACTATTTCATGTCCATTGCTATTACAATATTTCCTTTCCCTCGCTCCCACCCCATAAGTGACTTCAGTAGGTTTTAATGGCTTGTAAACGCAGGCAGATAACTCCCTCTACCCCGAAACTTGCGTTTTTCAATACTTTTATGGCCCCATAAAAAAAAAAAACCCTAGTCATTATAAGGAAGCACTCCGGGTTGGGAAGTTTACTACCCATGCGCCGTTTTTCCACGTTTGGTCACTTACCAGGTAGCCAACGATGTTACTCTTCCTGGCACCTCTTATGTACGTGAGTAGGCGATTTTGTTTACAAATCCATATGGAGGCAAAAACCGTGGAGGGAACCTTAGAGAGTCACGTATTCCGCACCTCATCCGTTACTGTTACAAGTTGAGCAGTAAAATCTGTCTCGGCAATTATTGTTCCACTTGACGTGACGGCGGCGACGGACGGACGACGGCGGGATGGACGCGCTCGGTATATGGCGTCGAGGTCACCACCGACTTCTTCCGACAATTTGCATGATACTCGCTTCGCACTGGCGACATCCCACACCCGAGACTCTTGAGTCGCTAGGTCTATGGGCTGATGTTCTTTCATTACCACTTAATCGCAACCTTACAAAGTACACTATGAGAGTACAGCGGTGCCCAGACTATCCTCGGTGTTCGGGATTGGAAACCCTAAGTCAACAATCGAAGGATTTTGGATCTACGAAGGCATTTTGAAAAATCAATAAGTACCTCTATGGTCCATATTATTTGGAGAGATTTACCTCTATGGGCGTACATGAATGGATTAAAGAGGTAATGGAACGGGGGTTCGAGTTTACCTTATAAAACAAACGAGGGGAAAAAATGAAGTTTTTGGAAGAGAAAAATTACACATTTTGGAGAGTTTTTCGCGGGGAAAACTCTTTGATCGGATAAAATGATGATTATTTCACTTTCATTGATTCACTTCATTTGAACTACCAATACTGCGAAGTTTAGAGTCCAAACATCGCCATGATTTTAGACTGAACCCAATAAGATGTATTCTTCCTGTTGACACTAAAACTAAATGTAAGCACAACTTGAAATTTGGCTCATCTAATTTAGAAATTTTCGGTGAATATAGTAGAATGAACTTAAAGTTTGTATGCTCTGCGTATAGGGAATATGTCAATCAAAGTATTGATCTTGGCTTTGAAGTGGCAATTTTTTTATGATCATTATGGTTGATTAAAATTAAAACCTCCGAAAATGAGAATGAAGGTAGCCTCGTATACCGATCTTTTTCATATGTAAACTTTCCTTTGCGGGCGTTCAAGTCTAGTTGATGAAAAGTGCTTTACCTTGCGCGCTTTAGCTAATGCAGAACATCTAAATATCCTTCACAATCATTTAAAGTATAATATTTAAACACGTGATTGTGCACTATTCTAAGATTTAACACCTGGCAAGTGAAATGCCGGGTCAACTTCAATTTTGAACCTTGGATGTCGATGAAAGGAGTAAAAACGATTAAAGGTTAAAATTTTTAAAACAGCAGCCCATGACAATGGTGGTATCAAAAACATAGGAGAAAGAACGGGAAACAATGCTAAAAATTACACATAAAAATCCGAGACGTTTCGGAGCTTTAAGTGTAATTTTTAGCCTTGTTTCCCGTTTTTTCTCCAATGTTTTGGAAAAACGATTAACAGATGGGAAAACTTTATCGATGTAGGCACGTTTCTATTGCAAGCTGAAAACCACGTCCCCAAAAATCGTTGAAAACCCCCACTTAAAAATCTGATAACTTTTATATCACCTGCTTGAGCGAATTATCTTATAAAATTTTTCCTGAAGGAAACCGTATAGTATCTCGGCGTCTTGATACTCCGATACAAATCTTGATTTTTATGACACTCATACACCGGTCATTTGATTTTTTGAGAAAAAAGCACATTATTTTATGGAGGTGCCTACCAATATTATTGATTTCTACCAAGAAGCAACAAGTTAGGATCCTTTTCTTCCAATTCACCCCTGACGAATGGCTAAGTGGAATGCCATGGTTCCTCCGTGTAGTTTTCCTGAAGAAAACAAAAAGTCATAAACACTGGCAACCTCGCCACCTACTTCAGCGAAGGTAGCAAAAAATCTAACTCAATTTGCCTATAAAAGGAAAAACCTATCAGTGCGACGCTGTAGATTAATTTGCTACATGCGAGTGAAATTATTTTTGTAATCTCTCTCTCGTACATTGAGAGTCAAACGAGACTCCACCTCCACACTTACGCGAATGGAAAGAGTAAATCTATGCTACCATATTTAGATAAAATCGCCCTTTATACATGCTGTTTTCGGAGAATAATGCACATTTTTCACTCCATAGCGGCAATGTTGTGATGATAGTGCAGTGCACTTGCTCAGCTCAACGATGGGTGCATCATTCCACTAACCGTTGTAATATATTAGAATGGTTCCAGGCCAATTAGTATGTAAATATTCATTCTGTTCCTCCTTTTCCGCGAATCATCTTTCATTCTTGAGTATGCTCATTGGAGGTGGATTGAGTATTAGCCCCTCCTCTGATTTCCGCATACCTGGTGCTGTCTCCAATTAAATTTTTAAGGAAAAAAGTTTTAGAAGGCTTAAAGTCAACATCTCAGGAAAGTATCGCTACGACTACAGAAATACGCAGAAGAATTGCAATATTTCAAAAAATTGCTCTCGTTTTATTAATCTCGGGAAGAGTTTCTAACATGCCCTGGTAAAAATTGGCGATAGGAGCTGCGTTTCAAAATACCATAGGAGTTCTTATAGCCGACTATAAAAGGCTATTGAAAATCATATAGCTGGCTGTAGAAAGCGGAGTAAATCATATAGTCGGGCTATACGAAGCTATAAAAAAGTATACAGTCGGGCTATAGTTTCTATTGCCGGGATTTACACTTTATCGCCATTGGCTATAAAAGGCTGTAAGAAATTGTGTATGAATTTATGAGCTTGGGAAATCATTAAGTTTTTTACGGAACTACCTTAATGTTTACAAAACACACATTATATTTTCCTTTAAAACACATTTTTTTTTTTCATCAATTAAAATGAGAATAATCCATACAGAGTGTGCAAACATTTCGGAATCATGAGTTGAAAAATCGCTGACTCCGCGAGATTAAATATTAGAGCCTAACATAAAGCGGAGCGGCGACGCACTGGCGCCTACAAACCTAACAGGGATACTTCTCGCATTGCGCAATGCGCGAAGTATCACTGTTAGGTTTGTAGGCGCTCTCTGCCCGCCCGCCGCGCCGCAGCATGCCACGGCGTATTAAGCAACTATTTCACACCAGAGGTATTGCACAGTATCATAAGAAATTAAAGGTGCTCCAGCATTTTAAGAATGACAGGCATCCTTCAAAAGTACGGAGCTTTCCTCGCAAAATAATATGACTAATAATAATACTCGTAATAATAATACTATGGCACAAAAAGAGAGCGGTAGTCCAAAAACTCACGAAGTCCTAGTATCCGTATTTAGTAACGTTTGACATAAACTTTATCGTCTGGCTGTTGCTTAATCGCCATCGGCTATAAAAGGCTATAAGAAATTGTGTAGCTGGCTATAGAAGCTATCGGAAATCTTACAGCCGGCCGTAGGTCTATGGTATTTTGGAACACAGATTCTACTGCCAATTTTTACCAGGGTATTCTGAGATAATTTTTATGGCTGTAAATGCCGTCTGATACCGTGAGCGCTAGAAGTATGGTCAAACACGACCCACATGGGTGTGGGGCACAGGCACATACCGTCCGAGACTGCGGTTCGCGCGATATTTCGGTGTTGCCAAATTCACATTTTTTTCAAATTTATGGACTTTTGGTAATTTTTGATCTTTCCGCTATCACCTGTCCCAGATGAATAAAAAAATGGTAGAAAAAATGAGCACTCGTAAATTTTTATGTTGTTGGCGCCAGTGGCTGGATATTGTCATGAGAACTTCAATTCCCTCTGTATTTTTTTTAATTGCTCATATTATTATCAAAGTTTCCATTTTTCTTTATTACAATTTTTTAAATACGATTAATGTGAATTGTTCTTTCTTCAATGAATACCACTCTCCGCCGAAAAAAATATGCAGAATCTACAAACCTGAGATACTGAACTCAGTCAAACAAGAAAAAAATACTGTTAAAGTTATTATTATTTTATTTGTGTTTTCTTTTTGTTTCAGAATCTGACATATTACACATGAGCAAACACTGAAAGAAAGAAGGAAAAAATGACAAAAAAGAAGGAATCCGCGAGCACCAGCTCAGAAAAAACGAGTAAATCCTCGAACGAAACGAAATCAACGACCGAATCAAAATCCAGTGAATCTTCATCAAACCGCAAATCATCCCTCACGTCCAGGATTCTGGGCTCTTTCTCTCGAGCATCTTCCACTGCCAGTGTAGCCAGCCAGAAGGACTCCAAAAGTGCCACCGATCGGAAATTATCCTTAGTCAAAATCGAGTCAATTGACGACGACGATGATCTGGCCAACTTGACGGTGCCGAAGACGATCGAGTACACTGTCACCGAGCCAGCAACCCTTGTCGTCGAAAAAAAGGATACCAGCCAGAAAACAAAGTCTAAGAATGCCAAGACAAACAAGTCGGTCATCGAGTCTGTTAAAATGGTCGGCGGAAAGATCATCAAGACGACCAAAGCAATGCAGTTCACTTTCGCGCGGCCTGACGATGATGACAACGACGATGACGACTTCCAAGTAGAGATCACCGAGATTCCATCCGAAGAGCGTCGGGCCTCTGTGGGATCGACGCATTTTTCCGAGCGCAAAATGTCAGCCGATTTTTCCGCAGAATCAAAATCGAAAGTCTTCCAGTCCTCAAAATCCGACTCGCAGTCGAGTTTTTACTCCACTCAAGACAGCAGCACCGCGGACGAGCAAAATGTACGGCTGGTCGGTGGGAAGCTGACGAAAACACCGTCGAAAGACTCTCAGTTGCAGTCTAATTCCAAAGTGGAGGGGTCTGACAGTCAGTTGACGAGGACTTCAAGTCACCGCCTGATCGAGAAGCAGTCCAGTCAAAAGTCGATCCACGAGTCGTCACAGGAATCGGTCAAGGAGTCTAAAGCAACCACCGTCCAGAAGAGTGGCTCTCGCACGTACATAACAACCAAGACGACCATCGGACCGGACGGAAAGGAGCGAACCGAGACTGTGGTTAAGAAAGAGGAGTTGCCACCAGAATCGCAAACAACTTACTCGGAGAAGCAAGAATCTAAGAAAGCCGAAAATTTCTCGACTACCGGTCAATCCAATTTAAAGTTGACGACTGGTAGCGCAGATGATAAATCTTACTCGGCACGGCTCCGGGCCAGCCTTGAAGACGATTCTTCCGGAACGTCGAAGAACTCTGAACTTTCCTCGGTGAAAATGGTGAAAACTGCTTCAGACTCGAGCTCGAAAACTTTCAAAACGGAGAAAGTTTTCGAGACGAGTGATTCTAGATCCTCTGTTTATTCTGACTCCCAGTCTTTCATCCAAAATGAAAAATCTGGAGTGACAGACAAGCTTAGCTCCACAACAACAACTGACACATCTAACAAGGGAGCGTCTTCTGACACTGCCATAAGAAGCAAAGATGATGTAAATTACTACACTTCCGGAACTTCCTATGTCACCACGACAACCACTGGCGCTAAACAGAGCCAGGATACTTCCGGTGTGAGACTGGTCGGAGGAAAAATAGTGAAGACAACCGAAAGCAAGGATTACTTCAATAAGAAAATTGGCGATGGTCTGGACAAGAAATCCTCACGGTCCGCCGAATCTCAGTCAAATGCTCTTTCTAACCAGTCTGATACTATGTCCTCCAGTAAGCTTGTGTCGTCGATCGATAAATCTGCCTCACACACGACTGATTCTCTCTCGAAAGTGACAGACAAAACCGAGAGCATGTCTTCTACCAAGCTTGTCTCGTCCGCAGACAAACAAAGCATCTATTCCACCAAGACAAACGTCTCCACGGATAAATTTGAAAACATTCCATCAAGTCAGCTTGTATCATCTATTGACAAAACAGCCACTCACACGACTGATTTTCCTGGTAAGTCAACGGTGGACACGATGGATGGAGTATCCTCAAGTAAACTTGTATCATCCATCGACTCTCAATCTAAAAATATATCGGATAAGTCAGAAAGCTTTTCCACCAGTAAATTTTCCTCCTCCAAGTCAGAAATAAAAACTTCCAAGGTAGATAGTTCCTCCACTGCGTATTCTTCTGATGTTTTCGACTTCTCCGACGAAAATCTAGTGTGTACATGTGATCTCGGCGCTACACATTCCACGAACGATTTCAGCCACAAGGATGAAATTAGTTCAACGAAATTTCTTAAATCTGAAAATTCGAAGACTTCTACAACCCAATTTGTGTCAGGAGTCCCGGTTGGATTTGATCCTGCCCCTCTCGATATTCCAAAATCTCCGAAGCAGCCCAAATCCCCAACCACGAAACTTGTTGGCGGAAAACTTGTAAAACTTGGCGAGGACAAAGACTATTTCAACAAAAAGATAAGTGAGGGTGTCGAAAAGAAGGAGCTAAGAACAACAGACTCGAGTTCAAAATTCGACGTAGATGAGACCTCCGTCACATACGTCACAGATAAATTCTCTTCAAAGCTATCCTCGAGCTCAATAGTTGACAAGCAGTCAAAGACCTTTGACAAAGAAACTAATTCGTTCGGCACACGTCTCGTTGGTGGTAAGCTAGTAAAAGACTCTACTGATGCAACTTACTACAACCAAAAAATGACGGACGGATTCGAAAAGAAGATACAGGATAGCACCAGCACCGACGAATCATACACTAAGGACTCCACCTATACCGTCACTAGTGACTTTATTTCACGTGAATCAGAGAAACAGTTCGACCTTGGGCGTAATGATGTTACTTACACATCCGAAAAAACAATTCCAAGAAGTAAAATCACCGATGACACTTACTCTGTGATCAAAACGCAAAATGGATCTATTCCAACCTCAACGACAGAGAAAACATATATTATCGATGCGTCCACGAACTCTCAAGAAGTCAAAATGGTCGGCGGAAAAATCGTCAAAAACGTTTCTGACAAGAATTATTATAATCAAAAGATAACTGATGGACTGAAAAAGAAGGATAGCGAAAAAACTAAGACTGATAGCACAACCTTTAAAACCCAGAAAGATATATCTAGTCATGACTTTACAAAAACTGATTTTTCTTCTTCCAATACATTTACAACTCAAAAGTTTGAAGTATCCGATATCAGTGATAAGCATGTTAGTGATAAAACGTACGTGAAAACGCTCTCTAGTAAAGAATTTCCGATTTCTGGTTCACCCCAGGGGCCAGCCGAGCCTGGGCTCACAGTTAAAATGGTCGGTGGAAAATTAGTGAAAACCTTCGTGACACCCGAACCTCAGCCGAAGAAAAAGCCAGGCAGAGAACCATCGCCAACCAAGTACTCGACCGACCAAACCTTCGCCGTTGAGTCTGAAACTATTTCATCCTATAAACAGAAAGAGTTGAAAAACGGCGATATTAAGAAGTTCCCGCGTACTGAAACAACGACCATTATCAAGAACATCGGTGATACAACAGATTATAACATCTCTACTGCAGAACTCAGATCCACGACTAAGGAGCAGGTCAGCAATTATACAAGTAAATACATCAGCGAGTACGATCAAGGGAGACCTCGGGACACATCGCCGACGAAAATCAGGAGAGACGACTCACCATCCAAGTCCAAACCAAAAGATTACTCCCCTCTGAAGGCGCGAGATGTTTCGCCGACCAAATCAAAACCAAGAGATACATCTCCCACAAAATTAGGCAAAGACAAGTCCCCGATAAGGTCCGTTTCGCAAATAAGGCCTGACACAACGATCACATCTAAGACCACTGATAAGAGGTCCGACTTTTCATTGGACCGCTCCGATACCACGGTAGTGTCCAGCAGCTTTGTCTCGGAGAACCTTTACATCAATGATTACAAGAGCACAGACTCTGTAAATCAGACAAAATTGGTGACATCAACGCCGATCAAGCCAGGCCGGAAGGAGCCTACTGACAAATCGCCCAAGGATGAAGGACCGAAAAAGCCTTCTGATAGGTCACCAACAACTACAAAACCGACCGTGAAGTCAACCAAATCCACCACTGAAATAACCGAAACAGGTCTGACCGTGAAAATGGTCGGTGGAAAACTAGTGAAGACTTTCGTGACTCCTGAGCCAGCTCCGAAGAAAAAGCCAGAGCGAGAGCCCTCTCCGACCAAGTCACCAAAACCGAAACGTACGGATACGCTCGACAAACCTGAAACCTACTCACCGACCGCTATCCGCAAAGGAAGTTACACGATCACCTCAACCGGGGAGAAGGTGGGTGACCGGCCGGTGGCGCTCGTTCCGAGGGACTACGACGTCGTCGACCGAAGTTACACGTCGGCGACGTCGGACACGTTCCAGGCGTCGACCAACTTCAAGACCGAGTCGCAAACCACGTACGCGACCAGCAAAGTCCTGAAGGAGAGCTTCGTCTACGACTCGCGCGGAAACGTCGTGAAGGTGACGAAGACCGAGTCGGTGCAGGACTTGAAACCGGAGACCGTTTCGCGCACCTCCGTCACGTCGGACGTGAAGGCGACGCGGCTGGTGGACGAGCGCGTCGTCGACAACCGCGAGACGTCCGTCACGAAAACGGTTCGGGACGACCGGAAAACGGTCGACAAGAAAACGGTTCGTGATGACAAGAAGACGGTGCGAGATGACAAGAAGACGACCAAAGTGACGGAGAAGACCGTCGTCAAGGAGCAGTGCATTTGCGAGATTTGCACATGCGGGTGAGTGATTTTTAACATTTTTTGTTGGTTTATCACTGTATTAAATCTATTATCATCAATTGTAATGATTAAAATGAAAGGTCTTGCCTTACACGCTTGTCGATTGTTTAATGTATTATTTTCATCCCAAATGTACACCTACTAGACACAAATATTTAAGACAATCAACGAACATGTAAGGCAATACTATTCATTTTAATTATCTATTGATACCAACAGGGTTGGACTGGCTCGCATCTGAGGGCGTAGACGCTTGACTGGTTAAAGGGGCGTAATGTGATATTTCCTGATGAGGCATCCCTTCGTAGAGAGGGGTCCAGAAAATTTTGGCAAAGCAGCACAAGTTTACGCTATTTTTAGATTCGAAGTTTATTAATTGTACAGAGTAAAAATTGTAAAATTGAACGTATTGAAGTGACCGACAGACTTCTGAAATTAAAGAAAACAAACAAAAATTAAAGCCACTAGACGCATCCAAACACCATTATTTCCATTAGAACCGTGTCAGTGCTGTGGTTTACACGAGCTTAAGACGTGGGTCTAAAAATCCATCCTAAAAAAGAATCAGGCAAGAACCTGAAATAAGAAGAAAGAACGAGTATCAACAGAGCCGACGACTATAAAGACGTATTCGGGCCTCTTTTTTAACTTTTCTCCCGAATCTGAACGACACCTCATTGGCAGCATGATTAGCAGGGCATGGAATGCTCACGCTTCGTGTCATCGCGCCTTCAATTTTTCAGATGCAGCACGGATGTCCATCAAGTACGAATAGTTGTATCTCTGCGCCGTCGTTAATGCGCATTCTCTCCCCTCGCTTTATTTCCATATTGTGTTTGTTTGCGTTTGTCTTATTCGTAATGGTACTTCAAGCACTACGTGCATAACACAGCCGAAGGGGAGAGATGTGTTCAGGCCTCTTTTTTAACTTCCCTTCCGAATCTGAGCGACACCTCATTGGCAGCATATAGCAGAGCATTGAGAACTCACGCTTCGCGTCATCGCGCCTTCAATTTTTCAGCTGCAGCACGGACGTCCATCAAGTACGAATAGTTGTATCTCTGCGCCGTCGTTAACGTTAATTAAATATAGCCAAAAAAAAATTATAAAAATTTAATTTAAGTAAAGATGATAATCTTTTACCTTTTGTATCAGGGTTAATTAACAATAAAAAAGAGTTTAATGTCTCGAAATTTACAACCATATAAGAATTTTACATTGTTACCATTCAAAAGGTAAACGTCGTCCGTTCCCTAAAAACAACCGCGCCTTACCTTTTGAATGGTAACAATGTAAAATTCTTATATGGTTGTAAATTTCGAGACATTAAACTCTTTTTTATTGTTAATTAACCCTGATACAAAAGGTAAAAGATTATCATCTTTACTTAAATTAAATTTTTATAATTTTTTTTACCTTTCAACGCGTGTCCGTTCCCTCCCTCTATTTCAATGTTGAGTTTGTTTCCGTTTGTCTTATTTGTAATGATGCTTTAAACTAGAGCAGAGCATTGCGAGTTCACAACTCACGCCATCGCGTCTTACATTTTTCATATGCAATGTGATCACTGACCATCCATCTTGCGAGAATAGTTGTATCGCATTTACACTTTAGATGTCTCTTATTTTTGAATTTCGAAATAAATTTAGGTTAAGTTTGCCCGAGATATGCTTTGATATGTTCAAATCAATTGTCATTTTGAAAAGGAAGAAATATGTTGAGAAATATCTCAAGAGGTCTCTAAAGTGTGCGTATGTCTAAAAATCGAACCAGCTATCGCTTCTACGGTGGTTACACATAGAGAATGAAGGAGGGGGATGATAAAGCGCCTGTATGTCAACAAAAAGGTGACAATTTCACAGAAAAGTGTTTACGCTTTAAAAAGTAGTTCTTGGACCTCTGTTCACCACTATGCGTAAAATTATCTCTCTTCACTCCTAACTCTCTCCTCCTCCGTTCATTTAAGAAATTTTCAGCCTATATTCTCGGTCGTAATTTTTTTTTTCTCTTCTTATTTTGATATCTGTCAGAAGGGCACGTTTTTGGCGCGCTAAGGGGGCGTATCTGCCAATGGCAGATTGGCCCTATGGCCAGTCCGAGCCTGGATACCAAGCGCAGAAAGCGCCACTCAACTCATTATTTTTTTCATAACTGTTATGAGAAACCATATCATTGGATATGAGCCCCAGCCCATGTGAGGCGAAGGAGGTATTATCAAATAGAGTCAATTTTAGGGCGATTTCCACGGATCGTTCTACTCAATTATTCGAGTGAGGTAGTCCGTATTCTTCGAACTTAAATCTCAAAATTCATCTTTACGTGAAATATCTATTTTTAATATTCTCGCTCTTACTTTATTGCTTTTGACCCGGATTTTGAAGTCATTCATCAAATTCTCCCATACAATCTGTATTTACGGTTAAACTCGACTTTAAATTTGAAATGATGAGTGGTCGATTTGGAAAATTTGGACTCAGTTTTTCCTGAAAATTTTATAAATTATCGATGGCAGGCATTCTGAGTATCTAATTTCGAAAAGGGTTCAATTGAGGATACTTAACTTCACTCGTTTTTTGAGGCACAGTAAATGGACGTATTTCTGTCAAACGGAACTATGTGCACTAAGACATGAGCTATGAGACCCATAAGAATATATGCATAACAGGGCTCACGTCATAATGCACATAGTTCCGTTTGATATAAATACGTCCCAATATCCTGCACCCGAGAATAGTACTGATACATTTCTGTCAGCGACATGGTCCTGTATCTCCTTGTCACAAGATTATTGCATTCATTCTTGGTGTTCATGCTCCACATAAAACAAGCGTTGCTGCAATAAAACTTGCCTTCAGAGCACAGAGATCGCTAATCATTTGGGTACTGTAAAGACTACCTCCATCCATCCGATAAGAGTAAATACCTTTTGTTGAGAGCAAGTTCTGGTGAGATTGTTAAATCGAACAGCTGTGATTTATTTCGTATACCTGCGTATGTATTTTCTTGCCTACGCATTTGGTTTATTTCGATTGTGAACTTTCAATTGAACGTATCTATGCTAAAAAGAACTACGTACATACAGTCTGCGTGCGAAATAGTTCTTTTCAGCATAAATACGTCCAATTGAAATGCACCCACTCGATCTTATGAGTTATAACAACGAAAAAAGGCTGATTCAACAAAACTTGATGAAAGCGTGCTCAAAACGGCAAAGGGAAAGACAATTTTCAAGACGTACATGTTACGCCTCGTTGGCAATTAAAAGTACATCAAAATAAAAGTCAATACTATTTATAATACAATTCAAACTCCAATATAATACAGTTTACGTAAATAAGGTTTACAATTAATTTTTTTTACCAATTTATTTTAAGATTTTTTAATTACAAATTTCCGAGTTTTTCTACAACCCGGTAACCAAGTAAAGAAACCTGATAAACAGAAATTTATTTTATCGAGGGAGAAATGGATGAAATTAACAGAAAAAGGACAACTTACGGCGCACATATTTATCGAAGTTTGTTCAGTTTGTCGTGAAGCTGAAATCCGTTGACCAATCACAGAGCGGCACTTTTTTTGTAGTGAGAGGATTGAGATGCCAATAATTTCTCTATACTCTGTAATTTGGGTGCTAAAACTAACAACTCTCGTGCATTTCTGAGGAGGCGAGAAAAGTAAAAATACCTTCAATTTTGAACATGCAACACGCACATCCACGGAGCACGAATAGTTGCATCAAGGCGCCACAGTCAACTTAGTCTAGTCTTCATAAAGCGGAAACGCCGCCAATTTTTGAGTACATATGCAACACGCACTCCAAGGTACTGAAAATGTAAGCAAAAAATGATCCTATATTTGTAATAAAAACTTTTAAGAATAACGAAGAAAAAGTAAGTTGTAAAATGTACATATATGACAAAACATGTAAATTGTTTTGTGACTTTTGGATTTCGTTTAAAATCTCGTGAATAATTCGTCAAAAGTCGGTCAGTGGAGGAAATTCGACGATTAGCGTATGTTTAACATTTCAAATCATAAGTACCGGCGTAGTATGCAGATTTTTGACTGGGGATGATTTCATTTTTTGGAGGAGAAAAGGAGATTTACGATAAGAACTGAAGTTTTTGATCAACGCCGGAGATTTTTGCATTTATGGGTAGCTAATTCCCAAATTATATTCAATCCAAAGATTACATAAGGGCCGAAAACCGCGAAACAGCTTCAAAAAGTCGAATTGGTTACCTCGATTACCCATGCAGTGCGGTACGCTCGTAAAACATCGTGACCTTGGGCGGGTTTATTGCGCATTCACGGTTCAAAAATCTGATAGCACGTCGCGAGACGCGAGACGAGGGGGTCGAGTTTTTTGGGAACCATCATTAAGAAAAATGGGCGGGCGATAGGTGGGCCTCTCGAAGACCCCGTGTGCCGGTGTCCTTCATGCACCGTGAAAAATCGCGTGCGTCCCGCTGCTCCAGTTGCCAGACTGGATCAGTGACTACCAATCATGATAATTATTTCTACGTAGACACGGACAATGGAAGATTGTTAGAATGGACATTTTTTCTATGTCCGATTTTTACTCTTCTTTTTTTAATATTATCCATCCCTATTATTCTTCTTTCCCCGACTGTAAACCATGAACCCTCTGTGACAAGATTTAAAAATATAACTTAAAAAAACAGAGATATATTTGTGTGAATTTGATTTTATAAGGGTTTTTCATTTATCACTCAAGCTCTATCTTTGACCAAAATAATTAGTTAGTTAGCTACTTTAATACAATCAGCAACTATGGATATTAACAGGTCCAGGGTCCATCAGGAGAATACACTGAATTTTGAGATTTAGTTGCTTGAAAATTTTTACTTTTTCGGTGGTGACCCTTAGGTTATCCGACTTCAAAGGGCGAATGTTTGGAGGGAGATAATTTTAAATTCAAAATAATTATATTTACAGCGAAAGAGGGGCTATACTTAAAATACAAAACCTGGTAAGCG